GTCTTGAGTTGGTTCATCCATAGCGCCCATCTCACCTGTGACTGTGGAAAGGAAAAATGCTGAATGATAAGGAGAACAAGATACATGAGGAGCACAGCTCCCCATCCTTTGATTAATTCACTCTTGGAACCCATGTGCCTGAGCTTTGGAAAGGTTGAGGGAGCAGACTGTCCTGGTCCACAACACTGGTAGAGATCCCTGGTGGAACAAGGACATGGACATGGTTGACTGAGAGCACTGCAGGGACACCATGACACTGGCATGACTTGAGTATCCTCAAAACGAGGACAAGGTGAGAAATCTGGGAGTTCTTTCAGGCAGGAGACAAGAATGCAAATAGGAGATGTCATAATATGGAATGCCATGGAATGACATTAGTGACAACACCCCAATAACTCTAAGATTCGATGGAGTATTTTACATGTCCTAACACACACTATAAACAACAAGATAATCAATTCTTGCAATTAAGATGTTCTGCCAAGGTCAGATGGACACAGCCGCAAGGGAAGAACACAGAATTGCAGAATTGCAGAAAGGAAAACACTCCCCACCTCATGACTCACCAAGCTGGGCCAGGCAAGAGCTACTGCCTGCAAAATGCCCCAAGGCCATGGGACAAGCCTGTCCCGCCCCTCCAGGAGCAGCATAAAAGCTGGCCCAGTGTCTCTCTCACTCACACACTTCTCCTGACACCTTCTCCTTCGCCAGTCCGGACAGCAAGGTGAGTCTCAATCCCCTGACCCTCCTGCTCCTGCCCCCTTGGCCCCTCTCTGCCAACACACTCAGCCCCACTCAGCAGCCCTCACACCTCCCCACAGCCCCACAACAGCCTCCACACTCCATCACCCTCCCATACCACCCATCACAACCCCCAAACCTCCATGACCCTGCCTCACCTCCCTCTTTTCCAGGCACCCTCGTCACCACACCCATGGCCTGCTACAACCGCTGCACTCCCTGCGGACCCACCCCGCTGGCCAACAGCTGCAACGAGCCCTGTGCCCTGCAATGCCAGGATTCCCGCGTCATCATCGACCCCTCTCCTGTGCTGGTCACCCTGCCAGGACCCATCATGACCTCCTTCCCCCAGAGCACCGCCGTCGGATCCACCTCCTCCGCTGCCGTGGGCACTGAGCTCAGTGTGCAGGGACAGCCCATCTCTGGCGGATTTGGTGGCTTTGGTGGCTTTGGCTACGGCCTTGGCTATGGCCGTGGATTCGGCTATGGCTGTGGATTCGGCTATGGGCAGGGCTATGGCTATGGCCTTGGCTGCTATGGCAGAAGGGGCTATGGCTACAACTGCTAAGGGACCTTGGCACCACCCCTGACACCACCAGCTCTGCCCTCTGGCAACAGCTCCTGCAAGCAAAGCACCTCAGCTTGTGTTTGTCCTACTTGCACCTCTCACCAGACCCTATCTTCTTCTTTCTCCCGTCTCTTCATTCTTGTGCGTTAATAAAGTCTTATTGCATCAAAGCCTGATACGCCTCTTGTTCTTCTGTAATTCCAGTGGTCTCACATCCTTACCTAGTGCATTCCATGCCTAAACTGGCCATTGGGGTATGTGCAACAACACCTTCCTTCAAAAATATGTAAATACAACTAATAAAAACATCTGGCATGGGAAGCACAGGAGGGGACGCTTTCCTGAACATGGTACAAACACATCCCTGATAGACCAAAGCCTTGGTCACATCCATGCTCTCCTGGGTACAGCTCTGGTCAAGTTGCTCTGTGTCAGCACACACCTGACAAACTCTCTTCCCCAGCAGTACTCTTGAACCCCTCCAGCAATAAGAGAACCAAAATCCTCCACTTGGACAGGAAATCTGGAGTGCAAGAGCTTCCATTTCCCTGTTTCAGCAAGACCAACACGAGCAGGATTCCCAGCACCATGGACAGTTCAGCATTGGATCTCCCAGGGCCAGCAGTCCAGCACCATTTCCGCTCTATGACCACCCTAAAAATGAGAAATTCTTGCTTTCTTTGTACAGGGAATTCCATCTGTTTTCCCTTTGCCCTTGCCCTCTTGTCCTGTATGTGTGCACTACTGAGAACAGTCAGGTTCCCTCACCTTCATTCCCTGCCATCAGGGATTTGCACACACTGATGACAATCCCCTGTCTACCCCCATCCCCTGGGAGTCCAAGCTCTCTAAGTTTCTCATCCAGTGATGATCCACCAGCTCCTCTGGACTCTTGGTCTTTCTGAACTAGTGACTTGTCAGAACTCAAGAAATTCTTCTGGCTGCCGTGGAGGACTAGAGCCCCTGCCCGGAGGGCTCAGAGACCTTGACACAGAGCCCAAGACCCCTGTGCCTTTGATTTAGCCCCTGGAAAAAACAATTACCAACCTTTCTATGAAGGATTACAAGCCACAAAAGTCTGAGTAGAATGATAGTGAATTTATCACAAGGTGGAAAACTACATTTTTTGAGGTTTTTAGAATGGGGGTTCAGGGGGCAAGATGGGGGAATCTGGGAGTGTCCAGCCTTTCTCCTTCTTCTTCTTGACCTCCATCTTCTGCTGTGATGTTGGCACTTTTAGATTAGTTTAGCATAGAAACTCACTGTCTAACATAAATTATAAGTATTAGAAAGTAATTGTAAATATGGTACACGTAGTTTTTAGTATAAAAAGATAACATCGCCAAAGAGCAGGCAGAGTGACTCTGACTGACCTGCTGAGCAGACCTTGGCAGGCCAGGAGAAAGCATTTTATAGATATGAGACCAAGAACTGAAGAGTTCTGACTCCTTCTTCAACCACCAAGCTGAGAAAAGAGACCTTCTAACGTATCTCAGAGTCACTCTGACCAGCAGAGGTTCTGAGAGTCAATATTCATAAGCTGACATCATTTTCACACTGGGGAGATTAGAATTGCACACAACATCTCACATGGGACCTCACCAGTACTCAGAAGACACCAAGAGTCTCCTCATCACATCGTCTCCCTGCCTCACCACAACAATTCCCCCCAGTCCTGAGGTGGAGACTGGGGGAGCCTTTTCCCACAACAATACAGGGACACCTCCTGCCCCATTCCCTCCAATCCAGAACCACTCTGAAAGGTGTTTTCAGAGAAGAGCACAATTGTTCCAAGTGACACCCAGATATTTCTTCCTACCTGGCACGACTCCTCACATGAAAAAGCACTTGGCAGCTGCCCTTGCTGAAGTCCAGTAGATGTCCAGAAGTCAACAAGTTTTCAGTGTTGGCCCAGGGGTCAGCACTGGGGACTTGCTGCCATCTGGACTTTGGGACACTGACCACAAGGCACTGGCCCCAGCCCTTCACACTTTTCTGAGTCCATTACACTGGGCACTGACACCACCAGGACACACCTGGATTATTGAGGATCATGCAATGCTTGTCTCTGACAAGAATTGGTCAACCTCCAAATCCTCCTTCTGACAATCACAAGTGGCCTCAGCCTTTGGCACTCAGCACAAGGGAAGACGAAAAATATCAAAACCTCTGAGATTAGACTATCACCCAAGCACCCACTGAGCATGTTCAAATTGAAAGGTGAGCTCTGAGGTCAGCCTCTGCCAACTGAAGGGATGGAAGGCAATGGAAGGTACAACACCTCCTCCTTGGCACACCTGTCAATCTCAGTCCAGCCTATCAGAACTGTGAAAATTTTGGGGTAATTTTTCATGAGGGACCCACAAACCACAGCATACAAGGGCAGTGGGGTGACCACAGTGATGACATCCCACCTCTCCAAAGCTTAGGTCACGTCTTCAGCCCTCCTTGACATGAACCACCAACAGAAAAATTTGACCTCCTAATATTTGTAATTAACAGTTACAGCCACAGATGGACAGGGCCTCAGGAGCTGGATATGGAATTGCACAATTCCACAAAGACATGTGCCGACCTTGACAGGGAACAACAGAGGAGTCCACTGATTGTTCATTAGTAATTATTTGCTTACAGGAACACAATGTTAACAATTACAGGTTATGAGTTATGAAACTTGTGGCTTGAATGTGGAATAAGCTAATTGATGTCAGAGACAGCCCGGGAAAAAAGGGATCAAGCCCAGTTGGTTGTTTCATTAGTGAATTTCATAACAAGGTCAAGGAATACAGATTAAATGGCAGAGGACACTGTCATGTGAATTGGAGAAATCCTAATGGATCATAATACTGGAATAAGTTCAGCCTGAACAGCCTCTCAGTTTAAATGTCCTCTCTTTTGATCCCATTCAAGATAAAAGGCCATAAGTTCTCTTTCATCCATCCTGAAAGGCTTGAAGGCATTGGGTTCTTGACAAGCTATTGCAGAGTGACCGCCCCAGGACATCAGCAGCTCCCTCAGGATTCCTGGGTGCAACACAATGACAGATGGACATGCAGTGTCATGGAACAGAGTCCCAGTCTTCACAAGGCACCCGCAAACCACAGCACACAGCACAAAACGCCACAAAATGACATCACTGATGACATTGTAGATCTTCAGGGCTTGGGTTGTTCATTCACACCTCCCTGACACGCGTGGAACAATCAAATCTGCCTAAATATCAATTTATTAAAGCTACCGCCAAGGTCAGAGGGACAAAGCATCAAGAGCAGGACATGGAATTGCAGAATGGCATGAAGGAAAACATGCCCCAACTCATGACTCACGGGGTTGGGGCAGCCAAGAGCTGATGCCACTAAAATGCCCCAAGGCCATGGGACAAGGCTGTCCCGCCCCTCCAGGATCAGCATAAAAGCCGGCCCAGAGCCTCTCTCCCTCACACACTTCTCCTCACACCTCCTGCTCCTGCAGACTACAAGGTGAGCCTCAATCCCCTGACCCTCCTGCTCCCCCACCCCTGGCCCCTCTCTGGTGGCGCCCTCAGCCCCAGCTTCAGCCGTCCTCACACCTCACCAACAGCCCCACAACAGCCTCCACACTCCCTCACCCTCCTGCATCATCACCCCTCACATCCCCACACCCCTGCCCTGCCTCACCCTCTTCTCTTCCAGGCACCCTCCACACCACACCCATGGCCTGCTACAACCGCTGCACTCCCTGCGGACCCACCCCACTGGCCAACAGCTGCAACGAGCCCTGTGCCCTGCAATGCCAGGATTCTCGCGTCATCATCGACCCTTCCCCCGTGCTGATCACCCTGCCAGGACCCATCATGACCTCCTTCCCCCAGAACACCGCCGTCGGATCCACCTCCTCGGCTGCCGTGGGCACTGAGCTCAGTGTGCAGGGACAGCCCATCTCTGGCGGATTTGGTGGCTTTGGCCTTGGCTATGACCGTGGATTTGGCTACGGCCTTGGCTATGGCCGTGGATTTGGCTATGGCTGTGGATTCGGCTACGGGCAGGGCTATGGCTATGGCCTTGGCTGCTATGGCAGAAGGGGCTATGGCTACAACTGCTAAGGGACCTCTGCACCACCCCTGACATCCACAATGGGCCTGGGGCTCTGGCAACAGCTCCTCAGCTGGCAAGCAAATCACCTCAGCTGATCATTGCCCTACTTGCATCTCACACTAGATTCCTTCTAGTTCTTTCTCCCGTCTTCATTTTTTCCCTCAATAAAGTTTTCCTGCATCAAAGTCTGAGAAGGTTCCTCATCTTTTTGAATTCCAATGTCTTCATATCCTCACCAAATATAATGCCAGACAGGCCGTTGGCATGGATGGAAAAGAAGCAGAACACCTCTCTTAGGTAAGATGTCACCAGTAGCAATAACCAAGACAGGCAGTGGAAGGAGGAGACAAGGACATACCTTCCACAATGTGGCATAAACCTGGAACCCACTGCCCCAAAAGCTTTGACACATCCATGCTCTCCTGCTCATGGCTCTGGTAGAGTCTCACTGTGCCAGCACACACTTGAAATACTCCCTTCCCCATCAGGACTCTTGAACCCACCCAGCAAACAGAAGGAACAACATCCTCCACTTGGGCATGAACTCTGGAATACAGGTGCCTCATTTCCCTCTCCTCAAGGAAACACAGCAAGGACAGCATTTCCAGGACCTTGGCCAGCTCTGTTTTGGTTCTGCCAGCAGAGGCTCCATCAGCTTTTTCACACCGAGACCACTCTCACACTCAAAAATTCTTGCCTTCTTTCCCCAGGGAATTCCATCTGTTCTCCCTTCTTCCTTTCTCCCCTTTCCTTCTCCTGTGTGCATTGTGGAAAACAGCCAGGCATCCTCAATTTCATTCCCTGCTATCAGGAATCTGCATTGTCTCCTGGGAGTCCCAGCTCTTTCTGTCCTCTAGGAATTATTCGCCTGCCCTTTCAGTGTCTTGGTCACCCTGGCCTGGTCTTGCTTCACTAAGCCCTTGTGCTTCTTTCCCTGGACAGCTCAGAACTGCCCACACCACACCACACCCCACAGGACCCCACCAGTGCTCTAAAGAGAGGAAAGGCCACCTCTCCCAACTTCAGGGCAAGAATTGCCTGAAATCTATCCTGGATTCTGGTGATATCTTTTCCAGGAAAGGGAAGGATTCAGATTTTGTGGTCTCTTTGTTCTCCACTAGCACCACAGGGTCCTGTTCTGAAAAGCTCCTACTCAGCCTCTCAGCCCCCAGCATGACCTGGGGCCCATTGCCACTCCTGCCCAGATGCAGAACTTCACATTTTCCCCTCCTGAACTTCAGGAGATGCCTTTAACTCTCACTCTCCACTCTCCACTCTGACTGGTGGCACAACCAAGTGGTGCCTCAGCCACTCCACCACCTGCCTGCTTGCTGAGGGGACAACAGTCCCACTGCCCAGACGTTTCTGGAGGAGGATGGACAGGCTTGGCCTCATGGATAAAATTCTTGACCTACTTCCCTTGAGACTTGCTTGGATTTGAATTTTAGGCCACTGATCTCCAGCCTCTGGCCCCACAGCCACTCTTAGGCCACTCACTGCCCTCTCAGGCAGCCTGGATTTGCTCAGTTGCTCTGGGAGCATGGAAGGGGAAGGAATATCAAGGTCTTCACAAAAGGGTTGAGTTCAACAGCAGCCACAGCTCTCTCCTCATGCCCAGGCTGAGTCTCTGGCACAGAGCAGACACAGCTCAGCCAAGCACCATTTCCTCAAGGGAAATCCTCCAAGAGAAGTGGCCTCACTTCTCAGCAATTGCCATAACTCAAGACCCCAAAGGCCTGGCTCATCCCTCCTGTGCTGCCTCTCCCTTTTGGCCTCTGCTTCCTTGCACAGCTGCCACCCACACCCATGGAGTCAGTTCTGGTGGAAAAGCCTCTTGGCATTGAGTTCAACTGTTAAAGCAGGGCTACAAAATCCACCACCAAACGATCCCATCTTAAAAATATTTTAGTTGCAGAAGAGCTAAATTTTAAACACAATGTCTAACCATTCCCTCTGCATTACTAAAGCCACCATTAACCCGTGTCCCCAAGTGACACATCTCCAGAGACATTAAATCCCTGCAGGGATGGTGACTGCACAGTTACACTGGGCAGTCTATGACACCAATGACAGCCCTCTCCATGAAGGAAGATTCCTTAATAGCCAACCTAAATTTCTCCGGAAGACACTTGGACTCCGGATTCCTGTTCTCCTGTGGCGCAGCACAAGGGAAACAGGGTTCACATCCAGTTTATTATGAATCCATTCAGAAAAGAGACATCTGAAATTGTGGTGCAAGAAAAATTTTATTGAGACAAAATAGTGAAAAAGGAGGAGCAACCAGCGGAAGGGAATAAGGCTGAGGTACAATCAGGGTGACCAACAGCCAAGGTGCTTTGCTTGCAGCACATTTGGCCAGAGCATCAAGGACTTCCTGCCCACAGTGGGAGCAGCCCACCAGAGGGGCCCGAACGTCTCTGACCTAGAAGGAAGGGTTTGAAGCAGAGGGGACTGGACAGAGCCAAAGGGGAGAGCAGAAAGGAAAGAGCAGGGAGAGGAGAAGAGGAGGAGGCAGATGGGCCATGTTTGCAGGCAGCCTGGGCTGTGTTCCTGGCTTCTGCCTTGCTTGGTGCCCTGAGAGCAGGAGCTGAAAGTTCTGAGCCCCTTTGAAAGGAGGGCCCATGACCCAGAGAGGAATCCTCAATGCCTGAGATGAGTTCCAGGAAGAGGGTGGTTGGTGTCAGGGATGGTGCTGAGGCCCTTAGCAGATGGAGCCGCCCCTTCTGCCATAGCAGCCCAGGCCTCCCAGCCCATAGCCAAATCCATGGCCATAGCCAAGGCCGTAGCCACCAAAGCCACCAAATCCGCCAGAGATGGGCTGTCCCTGCACACTGAGCTCAGTGCCCACGGCAGCCGAGGAGGTGGATCCGACGGCGGTGTTCTGGGGGAAGGAGGTCATGATGGGTCCTGGCAGGGTGACCAGCACAGGAGAAGGCTGGATAACAACACGGGAATCCTGGCATTGCAGGGCACAGGGCTCGTTGCAGCTGTTGGCCAGCGGGGTGGGTCCGCAGGGACGGCAGAGGCTGTTGCAGGCCATGGGTGTGGTGTGGAGGGTGCCTGGAAGAGAGGGGTGAGGCAGAGGGAGAACTGGGGATGTGAGAGGCAGGGATGCAGGAGAGTAAGGGAGTGTGGAGGCTGTTGTGGGGCTGTGGGGAGATGTGAGAGCTGCTGAGGCTGGGGCTGAATGTGCTGGAAGAGAAGGGCCAGGGGTGCAGGAGCAGGAGGGCCAGGGGCTTGAGACTCACCTGGTTGTCAGCAGGAGCAGGAGGAGAAGAGGTCAGGAGAAGTGTGTGAGGGAGAGAGGCTCTGGGCTGGCTTTTATGCTGATCCTGGAGGGGCGGGACAGCCTTGTCCCATGGCCCTGGGGCATTTTTTTGGCTGCCACTCTTGACTGGCCCAGCCTGATGAGTTATGAGTTGTATTTTCATTCATAGAATTTAGCAGTGTCATGATTGGTTCTTGAGTCTGTGTCCTTGTGAGTCTGTGACCTTGACGGCCTCTTTGAAGTGAGACATGGTATTTGGGTGGATTTGATTGTTCCGTGTGTTTCAGGAAGGGCTGAATAAACAACCAGAGCCCAGCAGAGTTGAGATATCATCAGTGATGTCATTTTGTGGCACTTATGTGTTGTGGTTTTTTGGTGCTTGTGAAGACTGGGACTCTTTTCTGTGCCACTGGATGTCCATCAGTCATTGTGCTTCTCCCAGGAATGCTGAGGGAGCTGCTGATGTCCCGGGGAGGTCACTCTGCAATAACATGGAAATATTATCGTGAATTATGAGTGTTCCTACAGATTAAAGAGATCTCGTGGCCTTGTGTCTTGAACTGAATCAAGAGAAAACATCTGGAAAAGTAGAGGCTGGTCTGGTTGAACTTGTTCTGGTGTCATGGTCCATTTGGACTTCTCATCTTCACTTGACATTGTACTCTGTCATTTAAAGCATATTCCTTGACCTCATTAAGAAATCCATTAAACAACTCAGCCTAATCCTTTTTTTCCCAGGCTGGCCTGTGATGTTCTTGCCTTTAATCCGCATTCATCCCATCACTTTTCATATCTCATATCCTTTTAATCCTAATAATCTGTTCCTGCTAGCAAAACCCAGTAATTACTGATGGTTGGTCAGCACAGTCATCTTCCCTCCTATGACATGGTGTGGGCATTCCTTTGTGGAATTCTGTAGCTCCATGTCCTTCTTTGGAGGCCATGTCCACCTGACCTTGGCGGCAGATTTTAAGTGCCTTAGAGGTTAGAGGCAGGTGTTGATGCCGTGTGTCATGGTGGGCTGGAGACATGTCCAAAGCCTTGGACAGACGCGGTGTCATCAGTGAGGTCACCCCATGGCACTGGTGTGTCTTGGTTTTTGGGTGCATTGTTGTCACAGACGTATTTTCTGAAAAATCCTTTTGCTCAGATCTTTTCTCCTGAGAAGCTGGGAACCTTCAGCTTCTCCATGTTTTTCTACTTTGGAATGTGATTTGGAGAATTGTTTGCCCAGCATGTGACATGTTTTTAATTAATGGCCAATCACAGGTCCGGCTGTGTCGGGACTCTAGTCAGTCACAAGATTTTATTATTCGTTCCTTTCTAGCTTTCTGAGGTCTTCTTTCTCTCTTTCTTTAGTATAGTCTAATATATAATTTCCCTTTAATATAGTATATATCATAAAATAATAAATCAGCCTTCTGAAACATGGAGTAAAAATTCTCATCTTTTTCCTCATCCTGGGGACCCTTAAACACTGCCACTCATTGTAACATGGGGCCCCGAGTCATCACAGCTCTGTCAGGATTGTCTGGCTTTGCAGGAGCTCTGCTTGTGAGGAACTGCCCTTTCTATGATGTTCTCTCCATCCCCACCATGTTGTAAACATCCCCAGAGTTTCCTGCTGGAGATGGGAACTCAATCCCTGTGATTTAGGGTGGCCTTCCATGCTCCCCATAGTCTTGAGTTGGTTCATCCATAGCGCCCATCTCACCTGTGACTGTGGAAAGGAAAAATGCTGAATGATAAGGAGAACAAGATACATGAGGAGCACAGCTCCCCATCCTTTGATTAATTCACTCTTGGAACCCATGTGCCTGAGCTTTGGAAAGGTTGAGGGAGCGGACTGTCCTGGTCCACAACACTGGTAGAGATCCCTGGTGGAACAAGGACATGGACATGGTTGACTGAGAGCACTGCAGGGACACCATGACACTGGCATGACTTGAGTATCCTCAAAACGAGGACAAGGTGAGAAATCTGGGAGTTCTTTCAGGCAGGAGACAAGAATGCAAATAGGAGATGTCATAATATGGAATGCCATGGAATGACATTAGTGACAACACCCCAATAACTCTAAGATTCGATGGAGTATTTTACATGTCCTAACACACACTATAAACAACAAGATAATCAATTCTTGCAATTAAGATGTTCTGCCAAGGTCAGATGGACACAGCCGCAAGGGAAGAACACAGAATTGCAGAATTGCAGAAAGGAAAACACTCCCCACCTCATGACTCACCAAGCTGGGCCAGGCAAGAGCTACTGCCTGCAAAATGCCCCAAGGCCATGGGACAAGCCTGTCCCGCCCCTCCAGGAGCAGCATAAAAGCCGGCCCAGTGTCTCTCTCACTCACACACTTCTCCTGACACCTTCTCCTTCGCCAGTCCGGACAGCAAGGTGAGTCTCAATCCCCTGACCCTCCTGCTCCTGCCCCCTTGGCCCCTCTCTGCCAACACACTCAGCCCCACTCAGCAGCCCTCACACCTCCCCACAGCCCCACAACAGCCTCCACACTCCATCACCCTCCCATACCACCCATCACAACCCCCAAACCTCCATGACCCTGCCTCACCTCCCTCTTTTCCAGGCACCCTCGTCACCACACCCATGGCCTGCTACAACCGCTGCACTCCCTGCGGACCCACCCCGCTGGCCAACAGCTGCAACGAGCCCTGTGCCCTGCAATGCCAGGATTCCCGCGTCATCATCGACCCCTCTCCTGTGCTGGTCACCCTGCCAGGACCCATCATGACCTCCTTCCCCCAGAGCACCGCCGTCGGATCCACCTCCTCCGCTGCCGTGGGCACTGAGCTCAGTGTGCAGGGACAGCCCATCTCTGGCGGATTTGGTGGCTTTGGTGGCTTTGGCTATGGCCTTGGCTATGGCCGTGGATTCGGCTATGGCTGTGGATTCGGCTATGGGCAGGGCTATGGCTATGGCCTTGGCTGCTATGGCAGAAGGGGCTATGGCTACAACTACTAAGGGACCTTGGCACCACCCCTGACACCACCAGCTCTGGCCTCTGGCAACAGCTCCTGCCAGCAAAGCACCTCAGCTGGTGTTTGTCCTACTTGCACCTCTCACCAGACCCTGTCTTCTCCTTTCTCCCGTCTCTTCATTCTTGTGCGTTAATAAAGTCTTATTGCATCAAAGCCTGATACGCCTCTTGTTCTTCTGTAATTCCAGTGGTCTCACATCCTTACCTAGTGCATTCCATGCCTAAACTGGCCATTGGGGTATGTGCAACAACACCTTCCTTCAAAAATATGTAAATACAACTAATAAAAACATCTGGCATGGGAAGCACAGGAGGGGACGCTTTCCTGAACATGGTACAAACACATCCCTGATAGACCAAAGCCTTGGTCACATCCATGCTCTCCTGGGTACAGCTCTGGTCAAGTTGCTCTGTGTCAGCACACACCTGACAAACTCTCTTCCCCAGCAGTACTCTTGAACCCCTCCAGCAATAAGAGAACCAAAATCCTCCACTTGGACAGGAAATCTGGAGTGCAAGAGCTTCCATTTCCCTGTTTCAGCAAGACCAACACGAGCAGGATTCCCAGCACCATGGACAGTTCAGCATTGGATCTCCCAGGGCCAGCAGTCCAGCACCATTTCCGCTCTATGACCACCCTAAAAATGAGAAATTCTTGCTTTCTTTGTACAGGGAATTCCATCTGTTTTCCCTTTGCCCTTGCCCTCTTGTCCTGCATGTGTGCACTACTGAGAACAGTCAGGTTCCCTCACCTTCATTCCCTGCCATCAGGGATTTGCACACACTGATGACAATCCCCTGTCTGCCCCCATCCCCTGGGAGTCCAAGCTCTCTAAGTTTCTCATCCAGTGATGATCCACCAGCTCCTCTGGACTCTTGGTCTTTCTGAACTAGTGACTTGTCAGAACTCAAGAAATTCTTCTGGCTGCCGTGGAGGACTAGAGCCCCTGCCCGGAGGGCTCAGAGACCTTGACACAGAGCCCAAGACCCCTGTGCCTTTGATTTAGCCCCTGGAAAAAACAATTACCAACCTTTCTATGAAGGATTACAAGCCACAAAAGTCTGAGTAGAATGATAGTGAATTTATCACAAGGTGGAAAACTACATTTTTTGAGGTTTTTAGAATGGGGGTTCAGGGGGCAAGATGGGGGAATCTGGGAGTGTCCAGCCTTTCTCCTTCTTCTTCTTGACCTCCATCTTCTGCTGTGATGTTGGCACTTTTAGATTAGTTTAGCATAGAAACTCACTGTCTAACATAAATTATAAGTATTAGAAAGTAATTGTAAATATGGTACACGTAGTTTTTAGTATAAAAAGATAACATCGCCAAAGAGCAGGCAGAGTGACTCTGACTGACCTGCTGAGCAGACCTTGGCAGGCCAGGAGAAAGCATTTTATAGATATGAGACCAAGAACTGAAGAGTTCTGACTCCTTCTTCAACCACCAAGCTGAGAAAAGAGACCTTCTAACGTATCTCAGAGTCACTCTGACCAGCAGAGGTTCTGAGAGTCAATATTCATAAGCTGACATCATTTTCACACTGGGGAGATTAGAATTGCACACAACATCTCACATGGGACCTCACCAGTACTCAGAAGACACCAAGAGTCTCCTCATCACATCGTCTCCCTGCCTCACCACAACAATTCCCCCCAGTCCTGAGGTGGAGACTGGGGGAGCCTTTTCCCACAACAATACAGGGACACCTCCTGCCCCATTCCCTCCAATCCAGAACCACTCTGAAAGGTGTTTTCAGAGAAGAGCACAATTGTTCCAAGTGACACCCAGATATTTCTTCCTACCTGGCATGACTCCTCACATGAAAAAGCACTTGGCAGCTGCCCTTGCTGAAGTCCAGTAGATGTCCAGAAGTCAACAAGTTTTCAGTGTTGGCCCAGGGGTCAGCACTGGGGACTTGCTGCCATCTGGACTTTGGGACACTGACCACAAGGCACTGGCCCCAGCCCTTCACACTTTTCTGAGTCCATTACACTGGGCACTGACACCACCAGGACACACCTGGATTATTGAGGATCATGCAATGCTTGTCTCTGACAAGAATTGGTCAACCTCCAAATCCTCCTTCTGACAATCACAAGTGGCCTCAGCCTTTGGCACTCAGCACAAGGGAAGACGAAAAATATCAAAACCTCTGAGATTAGACTATCACCCAAGCACCCACTGAGCATGTTCAAATTGAAAGGTGAGCTCTGAGGTCAGCCTCTGCCAACTGAAGGGATGGAAGGCAATGGAAGGTACAACACCTCCTCCTTGGCACACCTGTCAATCTCAGTTCAGCCTATCAGAACTGCGAAAATTTTGGGGTAATTTTTCATGAGGCACCCACAAACCACAGCATACAAGGGCAGTGGGGTGACCACAGTGATGACATCCCACCTCTCCAAAGCTTAGGTCACGTCTTCAGCCCTCCTTGACATGAACCACCAACAGAAAAATTTGACCTCCTAATATTTGTAATTAACAGTTACAGCCACAGATGGACAGGGCCTCAGGAGCTGGATATGGAATTGCACAATTCCACAAAGACATGCGCCGACCTTGACAGGGAACAACAGAGGAGTCCACTGATTGTTCATTAGTAATTATTTGCTTACAGGAACACAATGTTAACAATTACAGGTTATGAGTTATGAAACTTGTGGCTTGAATGTGGAATAAGCTATTTGATGTCAGAGACAGCCTGGGAAAAAAGGGATCAAGCCCAGTTGGTTGTTTCATTAGTGAATTTCATAACAAGGTCAAGGAATACAGATTAAATGGCAGAGGACACTGTCATGTGAATTGGAGAAATCCTAATGGATCATAATACTGGAATAAGTTCAGCCTGAACAGCCTCTCAGTTTAAATGTCCTCTCTTTTGATCCCATTCAAGATAAAAGGCCATAAGTTCTCTTTCATCCATCCTGAAAGGCTTGAAGGCATTGGGTTCTTGACAAGCTATTGCAGAGTGACCGCCCCAGGACATCAGCAGCTCCCTCAGGATTCCTGGGTGCAACACAATGACAGATGGACATGCAGTGTCATGGAACAGAGTCCCAGTCTTCACAAGGCACCCGCAAACCACAGCACACAGCACAAAACGCCACAAAATGACATCACTGATGACATTGTAGATCTTCAGGGCTTGGGTTGTTCATTCACACCTCCCTGACATGCATGGAACAATCATATCTGCCTAAATATCAATTTATTAAAGCCACCGCCAAGGTCAGAGGGGCACAGCATCAAGAGCAGGACATGGAATTGCAGAATTGATGAAGGAAAACATGCCCCAACTCATGACTCACCGGGATGAGGCAGCCAAGAGCTGATGCCACTAAAATGCCCCAAGGCCATGGGACAAGGCTGTCCCGCCCCACCAGGATCAGCATAAAAGCCGGCCCAGAGCCTCTCTCCCTCACACACTTCTCCTCACACCTCCTGCTCCTGCAGACTACAAGGTGAGCCTCAATCCCCTGACCCTCCTGCTCCTCCACCCCTGGCCCCTCTCTGGTGGCGCCCTCAGCCCCAGCTTCAGCCGTCCTCACACCTCACCAACAGCCCCACAACAGCCTCCACACTCCCTCACCCTCCTGCATCATCACCCCTCACATCCCCACACCCCTGCCCTGCCTCACCCTCTTCTCTTCAAGGCACCCTCCACACCACACCCATGGCCTGCTACAGCCTCTGCCGTCCCTGCGGACCCACCCCGCTGGCCAACAGCTGCAACGAGCCCTGTGCCCTGCAATGCCAGGATTCCCGTGTCATCATCGACCCTTCCCCCGTGCTGATCACCCTGCCAGGACCCATCATGACCTCCTTCCCCCAGAACACCGCCGTCGGATCCACCTCCTCCGCTGCTCTGGGCACTGAGCTCAGTGTGCAGGGACAGCCCATCTCTGGCGGATTTGGTGGCTTTGGCCTTGGCTATGACCGTGGATTTGGCTACGGCCTTGGCTATGGCCGTGGATTTGGCTATGGCTGTGGATTCGGCTACGGGCAGGGCTATGGCTATGGCCTTGGCTGCTATGGCAGAAGGGGCTATGGCTACAACTGCTAAGGGACCTCTGCACCACCCCTGACATCCACAATGGGCCTGGGGCTCTGGCAACAGCTCCTGCAAGCAAATCACCTCAGCTGATCATTGCCCTACTTGCATCTCACACTAGATTCCTTCTAGTTCTTTCTCCCATCTTCATTTTTTCCCTTAATAAAGTTTTCCTGCATCAAAGTCTGAGAAGGCTCTTCATCTTTTTGAATTCCAATGGCTTCATATCCTCACCAAATATAATGCCAGACAGGCCGTTGGCATGGATGGAAAAGAAGCAGAACACCTCTCTTAGGTAAGATGTCACCAGTAGCAATAACCAAGACAGGCACTGGAAGGAGGAGACAAGGACATACGTTCCACAATGTGGCATAAACCTGGAACCCACTGCCGCAAAAGCTTTGACACATCCATGCTCTCCTGCTCATGGCTCTGGTAGAGTCTCACTGTGCCAACACACACTTGAAATACTCCCTTCCCCATCAGGACTCTTGAACCCACCCAGCAAACAGAAGGAACAACATCCTCCACTTGGGCATGAACTCTGGAATACAGGTGCCTCATTTCCCTCTCCTCAAGGAAACACAGCAAGGACAGCATTTCCAGGACCTTGGCCAGCTCTGTTTTGGTTCTGCCAGCAGAGGCTCCATCAGCTTTTTCACACCGAGACCACTCTCACACTCAAAAATTCTTGCCTTCTTTCCCCAGGGAATTCCATCTGTTTTCCCTTCTTCCTTTCTCCCCTTTCCTTCTCCTGTGTGCGTTGTGGAAAACAGCCAGGTATCCTTAATTTCATTCCCTGCTATCAGGAATCTGCATTGTCTCCTGGGAGTCCCAGCTCTTTCTGTCCTCTAGCAATTATTCTCCTGCGCTTTCAGTGTCTTGGTCACCCTGGCCTGGTCTTGCTTCACTAAGCCCTTGTGCTTCTTTCCCTGGACAGCTCAGAACTGCCCACACCACACCACACCCCACAGGACCCACCAGTGCTCTAAAGAGAGGAAAGGCCACCTCTCCCAACTTCAGGGAAAGAATTGCCTGAAATCTATCCTGGATTCTGGTGATGTCTTTTCCAGGAAAGGGAAGGATTCAGATTTTGTGGTCTCTTTGTTCTCCACTAGCACCACAGGGTCCTGTTCTGAAAAGCTCCTACTCAGCCTCTCAGCCCCCAGCATGACCTGGGGCCCATTGCCACTCCTGCCCAGATGCAAAACTTCACATTTTCCCCTCCTGAACTTCAGGAGATGCCTTTAACCCTCACTCTCCAGTTCCCTCTGACTGGTGGCACAACCAATGGTGCCTCAGCCACTCCACCACCTGCCTGCTTGCTGAGGGGACAACAGTCCCACTGCCCAGAAATTTCTGGAAGAGGATGGACAGGCTTGGCCTCATGGATAAAATTCTTGACCTACTTCCCTTGAGACTTGCTTGGATTTGAATTTTAGGCCACTGATCTCCAGCCTCTGGCCCCACAGCCACTCTCAGGCCACTCACTGCCCTCTCAGGCAGCCTGGATTTGCTCAGTTGCTCTGGGAGCATGGAAGGGGAAGGAATATCAAGGTCTTCACAAAAGGGTTGTGTACAACAGCAGCCACAGCTCTCTCCTCATGCCCAGGCTGAGTCTCTGGCACAGAGCAGACACAGCTCAGCCAAGCACCATTTCCACAAGGGAAATCCTCCAAGAGAAGTGGCCTCACTTCTCAGCAATTGCCATAACTCAAGACCCCAAAGGCCTGGCTCATCCCTCCTGTGCTGCCTCTCCCTTTTGGCCTCTGCTCCCTTGCACAGCTGCCACCCACACCCATGGAGTCAGTTCTGGTGGAAAAGCCTCTTGGCATTGAGTTCAACTGTTAAAGCAGGGCTACAAAATCCACCACTAAACGATCCCATCTTAAAAATATTTTAGTTGCAGAAGACCTAAATTTTAAATACAAAGTCTAACCATTCCCTCTGCATTACTAAAGCCACCATTAACCCGTGTCCCCAAGTGACACATCTCCAGGGACATTAAATCCCTGCAGGGATGGTGACTGCACAGTTACACTGGGCAGTCTGTGACACCAATGACAGCCCTCTCCATGAAGGAAGATTCCTTAATAGCCAACCTAAATTTCTCCGGAAGACACTTGGACTCCGGATTCCTGTTCTCCTGTGGCGCAGCACAAGGGAAACAGGGTTCACATCCAGTTTATTATGAATCCATTCAGAAAAGAGACATCTGAAATTGTGGTGCAAGAAAAATTTTATTGAGACAAAATAGTGAAAAAGGAGGAGCAACCAGCGGAAGGGAATAAGGCTGAGGTACAATCAGGGTGACCAACAGCCAAGGTGCTTTGCTTGCAGCACATTTGGCCAGAGCATCAAGGACTTCCTGCCCACAGTGGGAGCAGCCCACCAGAGGGGCCCGAACGTCTCTGACCTAGAAGGAAGGGTTTGAAGCAGAGGGGACTGGACAGAGGCAAAGGGGAGAGCAGAAAGGAAAGAGCAGGGAGAGGAGAAGAGGAGGAGGCAGATGGGCCATGTTTGCAGGCAGCCTGGGCTGTGTTCCTGGCTTCTGCCTTGCTTGGTGCCCTGAGAGCAGGAGCTGAAAGTTCTGAGCCCCTTTGAAAGGAGGGCCCATGACCCAGAGAGGAATCTTCAATGCCTGAGATGAGTTCCAGGGAGTGGGTAGTTGGTGTCAGGAGTGGTGCTGAGGCCCTTAGCAGATGGAGCCATAGCCCCTTCTGCCATAGCAGCCCAGGCCTCCCAGCCCATAGCCAAATCCACGGCCATAGCCAAAGCCACCAAAGCCACCAAATCCGCCAGAGATGGGCTGTCCCTGCACACTGAGCTCAGTGCCCACGGCAGCAGAGGAGGTGGATCTGACGGCGGTGCTCTGGGGGAAGGAGGTCATGATGGGTCCTGGCAGGGTGACCATCACAGGGGAAGGGTTGATGATGACGTGGGAATCCTGGCATTGCAGGGCACAGGGCTCGTTGCAGCTGTTGGCCAGCGGGGTGGGTCCGCAGGGACGGCAGAGGCTGTTGCAGGCCATGGGTGTGGTGTGGAGGGTGCCTGGAAGAGAGGGGTGAGGCAGGGGGAGAACTGGGGATGTGAGGGGCAGGGATGCAGGAGAGTAAGGGAGTGTGGAGGCTGTTGTGGGGCTGTGGGGAGGTGTGAGAGCTGCTGAGGCTGGGACTGAATGTGCTGGAAGAGAAGGGTCAGGGGTGCAGGAGCAGGAGGGTCAGGGGTTTTGAGACTCACCTTGTAGTCTGCACAGGAGAAGGTGTCAGGAGAAGTGTGTGAGGGAGAGAGGCTCTGGGCCGGCTTTTATGCTGGTTCTGGATGGGCGGGACAGCCTTGTCCCATGGCCTTGGGGCATTTTGCAGGCAGCAGCTCTTGGCTGGCACAGCCTGGTGAGTCATAAGTTGGGGAGTGTTTTCTTTCCTGCAACTCTGCAATTCTGTGTTCTTTCCCTTGGGGCTGTGTCCCTCTGACCTTGGCATAACCTCTTAGTTTAGAGAATTAACAACCAACATCTTGTTGATAGCAAGTGTCAGGACATGCATAGGACTCAACAAAAGCTTTGGAGAACTGGGGATTTAACTAGGTTTTGCCATGGCCTACTGACAACATGTCCCATTTGCATTTTGTCTCCTGCCTGAAATTCAAGGTCCCTAGTTTCATCTCATTTTAAGGCTGCTCCAGTTCCATCATTGTCTTGGTCTCCCTGAGTTGCTCTTGGTCAACCACGTCCAAGTTCTTGTTCTACTGTGTAGTTCCTGAAGTGGTGGGTGGAAGGATGGACACTGCCCTCAATTTGCTTTTATTTATTTTCCTAATCCTGTCTTGGGAACTGGTGGAATTTTTTGCAGCAAAGGATTGTTGGCCAAAGGGTTGATTAATCAATGGTTGAGGAATTGTTCTCCTCACATCCTTTTCTCCTTATCCTTCACCATTTTCCCTTTCCATGTGTCAGGCAGAGTCCAGCACTGTGACCCCACAAGGTGACCTTGCTGAACCCTGATGAGATGAGCGCTATGGATGGACCAACACAAACTTAGAACAGCATGGAATCCTCCCTAAACAACAGGATTGCTTCCCCATCCACAGCTGGGAAGGTCTGGTATACAACAACATCTGGAGAGATGGCAACATGGTGGGGATGGAAGCTGGGATGAAAGGAACAGACCTTCACAAGCAGCGCTCCTGCAAAGCCCAGATCAGCCTGACAGAGCTGTGATGGTTTGGGGCCCATCTTCACAATGCACCCCCAAACCACAGAGCATGAGAGCCCTGGGGCAACCTCACTGATGAGGCGGCTTTGGTCACGTCTTCACCTTGCCCTGACAAGGCCATCAACACCAGCATTTAACCTCTAATACTTGAATTTAAATATTGCTATCAAAGTCAGGCCTCAAGAAAATGGCTTGGAATCACAGAATTCCACATAGGAACACCAGCACCATGACATAGGAGGGAGGAAGAGCTCACTGATCATCCATTAGTAACAATTAGCTGTTACAAACAGGAAAAAAATATTAAGACTTGGAGGTTTTAAATTATGAAACCTTGTGGCTTGAATGCGGAATAAGAGAATTGACATCACAGCCAAGCCTGGGCAAACACGGGGTTGTTGTTTGTTTATTGGATTCATGAATGAGGTCAAGGAATATGCTCTAGATGACAGTGTATGCTCTTGGGTAGATTGCAGAAATCCAAATGGAACAGGTTCAGCCTGAACACCTTCGGCTTTGCCGGATGCTCTCCCTTGATCCCATCCAAGACAAAAGGCCAGGAGCTCTCATTCATTAGGAAGCTCTCAAATGCACTGGAATCCTGCCGAGTTATTGCAGAGTGACCTTCCCAGGACATCAGCAGCTCCCTCAGCAGTCCTGGGTGTAGCACAATGACTGATGGACACCCAGTGGCACAGAAAAGAGTCCCAGTCTTCACAAGGCACCCACAAACCACAGGACATGAGTGCCACAAAATGACATCACTGATGACATTGCAAATCTTCAGGGCTCTGCTTGTTTATTAAGGCCTCCTTAGACACATGGAAGAATCAGATTGACCCAAATACCAACACTAACCCTAAAGCTGCCACCAAGGTCAGATGGACACACACTCAAGAGCAGGACATGGAATTGCAGAATTGCATAAAGGAAAACACTCCTCACCTCATGACTCACCAGGCTGGGACAGCCAAGAGCTGCTGCCACAAAAATGCCCCAAGGCCATGGGACAAGGCTGTCCCGCCCCTCCAGAATCAGCATAAAAGCCGGCCCAGAGCCTCTCTCCCTCACACACTTCTCCTCAAGCCTTCTCCTCCTGCTGAAAACCAGGTGAGCCTCATGCCCCTGACCCTCTTGCCTCTGCCACACTTGCCTCTCTCTTTCAGAACTCCCCAGTCTCAGCAGCCCTCATGCTTTCCCACAGCCCTACGACAGACCCCAAACCCCATCACCCCTCACACCCCCACACCCCTGCCCTGCCTCACCCTTCTCTCTTCCAGGCACCCTCCACACCACACCCATGGCCTGCTACAACCGCTGCACTCCCTGCGGACCCACCCCGCTGGCCAACAGCTGCAACGAGCCCTGTGCCCTGCAATGCCAGGATTCCCGCGTCATCATCGACCCTTCCCCTGTGCTGGTCACCCTGCCAGGACCCATCATGACCTCCTTCCCCCAGAACACCGCCGTCGGATCCACCTCCTCCGCTGCTCTGGGCACTGAGCTCAGTGTGCAGGGACAGCCCATCTCTGGCGGATTTGGTGGCTTTGGTGGCTTTGGTGGCTATGGCCTTGGCTATGGCCATGGATTTGGCTATGGGCTGGGAGGCCTGGGCTGCTATGGCAGGAGGGGCTATGGCAACATCTGCTAAGGGCCCTCAGCACCACCCCTGACACCACCAGCTCTGGCCTCTGGCAACAGCTCCTGCAAGCAAATCACCTTGGCTGATGGTCATGGTGTTCTCACCTCACAACAGATTATTTCCACTTCTCTTTCCTGTCTCTTCATTCTTCATTCTTTCACATCAATAAAATTTTCCTACTTTAAACCTGGCATGCCTCCTTATTTTTTTTGTGTTACAATGGTCTCAAATCCTCACCCACCACATTCTAGAGCTGGACAAGCCACTGGGAGTATGTTGAACAGGGCAACAACACTTCTGCTTACATCTATCTTAAAACAATTAATAACAACTTAGTTATAACTAATAGGCAAAGGAAGCACAGGAAGGGACATCTTACAGAAGATGCCACATGTGCTGCAGCTTCTACACCAGTCTTTGACACACCAATTCTCTCCTTGGCACAAGAATGGAAAAGTTTCTACCTGCCCATGCACACTTGACAAATTCTTCTTGGGCACAACCATGAAGCCTACCAGCCAAGAGAGAAAAAACATCAACTCCTTGGGCAGGAGCTCTGGAGTGCAAGTGGTACAACTGCCCTGCTCAAGCAAGACCAACGGGAGAACATTTCCACAACCATGGACAGGTCTGATTCGGATCTCCCAAGACCGCAAGTCCACTGCCTCTTCCAATCTCTGATCATTCTCATAATGAAAGATTCTTGACATCTTTGCTCATGGAATTCCATTTTTTTTCACCTGTGCCCTTGCTCTCTTGCCCTGCATGTGTGCACTGCTGAGAACAGCCAGGCTCCCCTATATCTTCATCCCCCACCATCAGGGATTTGCACACACTGATGGCACATCCTGTCAATTCTTGTCCCCTGGAAGTCTCAGCTCTCTCAGCCTCTGCTCCAGGAAATTTCCCCCTGCCCCTTTAGAGATTGCTGGCCCTGAAATGATTTAGGTTCATTAAATGTATTTCATTTTCCCACTTTAGAACATTGCTGACCCTGAAATTGTTTAGGTTCATTAAATATATTTCATTTTCACACTGGAGAGCCCAGGACTGCTCATAACATCTCACATGGGATGCCACCAGCTTTCAGGAGACAGCAAGAGCCACCTCCCCCTGCCTCATTACAACACCTTTTCCACTTCTTCCCTTGAATCTTGGGGTCCCTTTTCCCACCCAGGGACACCCCGTGATCCATTTCTTCTCAACCACAACCACAAGAGAAGAAAACCATTGTTCTAAGTGACTCAGAGACTTCCTACATGGAATGACTCCTACCAACAAACAGCCCTGGGCACCTGCCCCTGCTGAACTCCAGCAGATGCCCAGGACCACTCAGGTTTTCAGTGTTGGCCAAAAAGATCCAACTCCCGAGCTACAGCACCGTGGATTTGCTGCCATCTGGACTTTTGGACACTGACCACAAGCCTCTGGACCCAGCCCTTCAGAGCCTTCTCAGGCCACCATTGACACAATCTGGACGTGCCTGGGGTATTGTCAAGGATTATGCAATGCTTCCCTCCAATAAGCCAGGGCAACTATCCAATCCTCTCTCTGACAACCAGACATTGCCCAGAGAAGTGACCTCTTGGGGCTTTTGCAAGTGAGAGTGATCCCGAGATGTGTTAGAAAGTCTCTTTTCCCAGCCCTGCAGTTGAAGAAGGAGTCAGAACCCTTCAGTTCTTGGTCTCAAGGCTGTTTATTGTTTCTTATCTATAAAATTCTTTCTCCTGGCCTGCCAAGGTCTGCTCAGCAGGACAGACAGACGCACTGGCCACCGTCCGGGGCGGTGTTATCTTTTTATATGAAAAATTACCTGTACATTTTTACCATAACTTTCCAATATTTATCACCTATGTTAGACAGTGAGCTTCTACTCTAAACTAATCTAAAATTGCCAACATCACAGCAGAAGATGGAGGCCAAGAAGAAGAAAGGCTGGACACACCCAGATTCCTCCATCTTGTCCCCTGAACCCTTATTTTAAAAACTCAAAAAAATCCATTTTTCACCTGACTAATTATTATTCTACTTAGACTTTTGTGGCTTGAAGATCTTCATATAAGGTTGGTAACTTTTTCCATGGGTCATTATCAGTCACAGGTGTCTTGGGCTCTGTGCCAGGACTCTGAGCCCCTTGGCAGGGGTTCTGGCAATCCAGGAGAGCCAGAGGGATGCCCTGAATTCCCACAGTGACCTCAGTCCTTAGCCCAAGGAATGACCCAAAAGACCCTGGATATCAAAACTGTACAAGCAAGAGGGGCACTGAGACACACACAAAGCACAGGAAAAAGGTGGTTCAATGTCAGCAATTGCCAGCTGGGAGAAAAGCATGGAGGGAGGGTATGTGATTGATGCAACATCTCCTTCTTAGAAAAGCTGCAAAATGCAGACCAGCCTGACAGCGCTGCCAGAGAGTGCGGGCAACTCCTTCCCACACATACACAAACCACAGAAATACCATGGGACGACCAACTTATACCCCACTTCTCAAAAGCTTTGCTCACTTCTCAAGCCCACCCTGACACAAGCCATAAATACCAAAATATGTTTTCTAAAACTTGCACGTAAAAGCAGCAGCCAAGCTCAGATGGACGTAACTCCAAGAGAAGGACATGACACTATGGATGTGGGGAAAGGCAAGGAATCCTCAGCTCATGATTTGCCAGGAAGGGCCATCCAGCCATGAGAAGGAAGAAAAGGACCTGCTGAAACAGATCTGTAGATGAGCCTTGGAGATGATGAGGCACTGCAATTAAAAGTGAACAGAGACCATGAGGGGTTTGTGTCAGAGGTTTGTGTCAGGCAAAGACCTGTGCTAGAGCATCCAGGCCTGATCTCACGCAAGTGAGGAATTTGTGTGGTGCAATGGGAGACCAAAGTGTGCTGGGCCTAGTGGAACTGGAGTAATATTTCCTAAGACAGGCCTTGGTGCACTTTTTCACCCACGCCAATTCCCTGCACAAACTTGCCTTAGCACTGAGTGAGACAGGAGGAATCCTGGGAGAAAAAAGAAAGAGCCATGTGAGGTTGTGATGCAACAAAACTTTATTGAGGACAAAGAGTAAAAACTCAGAAGCAGCCAGTACAATGGAGCTGGGCTCGGTTGTCACCAGGGTGACCATCAGCAAAGCAGCTTTGCTTGGACATTTGGCCACAGCAACAAGGCCCTGCTGCGCTCCATTGGGAGCAGGACACCAGAGGTGCCCGATGGTCTCTGGCTTGGGAGAAGTGGATTGTAGCAGAAGTCACAGGACAGAGGTGAAGGGACAATGCAGAGCAGAGAGCAGGAGAAGAGCAGGAGGCAGATGGGCCATGTTTGCAGGCAGCCCAGTCTGGCCCCTTGGCTACAGGCTTGCTTGGTGACCTGAAGGCAGGTGATACCTTAAGGCATCACAGGAACTGGAATCACTGAGCCCATTTGAAAGCCTTGGCACAGAGAGGACTTCTTAACGCCTGAGTGGGTGTTTGGTGTCAGGGGTGGTGCTGAGGGCCCTTAGCAGATGGAGCCATAGCCCCTTGTGCCATAGCAGCCCAGGCCTCCCAGGCCGTAGCCAAGGCCAAAGCCAAATCCGCCAGAGATGGGCTGTCCCTGGGCATTGAGCTCAGTGCCCAGAGCAGCGGAGGAGGTGGATCCGACGGCGGTGTTCTGGGGGAAGGAGGTCATGATGGGTCCTGGCAGGGTGACCAGCACAGGGGAAGGGTCGATGATGACACGGGAATCCTGGCATTGCAGGGCACAGGGCTCGTTGCAGCTGTTGGCCAGCGGGGTGGGTCCGCAGGGACTGCAGCGGTTGTAGCAGGCCATGGGTGTGGTGTGGAGGGTGCCTGGAAGAGAGAGGGGGTGAGGCAGGGATGAGGGGATGTGAGAAGCATTGATTCTGAGGGTGATGGAGTGTGGAGGCTGTTGTGGGTCTGTGGGGAGGCGTGAGGGCTGCTGAGGCCGAAGAGAGGGGTGAGAGGTGCAGGAGCAGGAGGGTCAGGGGCTTGAGGCTCACCTGGTTTTCAGCAGAAGCAGGAGGAGAAGATGTGAGGGGACGTGTGTGAGGGAGAGAGGCTCTGGACTGGCTTATATGCTGGTCCTGGGCGGGCGGGACAGCCTTGTCCCATGGCCTTGGGGCATTTTGAGGCAGCAGCCTTGCCTGGCCCAGCCTGGTGAGTCATGAGGTGGGGAGTGTTTTCTTTCCTGCAACTCTTCAACTCCATGCCCTCCATTGGGGCAGTTTCCATTTGACCTTGTCGGCAACTCTCCATGGAGGGAATTAGTGACCATTATCGCATTGGTGACACAGTGTATCATGACATGTAAAAGATTCAGCCAAATCTTTGCAGAACTGGGAATTCATCACTGAAGTAATTTCATGGCTTGTTGACAATATGTCCCATGTGCATCCTTGTCTCCTGCCTGAAAGAACTCCCAGCTCTCTCAGTTTCTCATTTTAATGGTGCTCCAGTTCCATCATTGTCATGATCTCCCTGCACTGTTCTTGGACAGGCACATTGAGATCCCTGATCCACTGTGGAGCCCCAGCAATGGTGGGTGAAAGGATGGGCACAGCCCTCAACCTGCTTCTTTTTCTTTTCCTAATCCTTTCCTGGAAACTGCTGGAGATTTTTGCAGCAAAGTGTACATGGCCAAAAGGATGGATTAATCAATGGATGAGGAATTGTTCTCCTCATGTGTCTTGTTCTCCTTATCCTTCTCAACATTTCCTTAACAGGAAGAAGGACCAGAACCCAGCACTGTGACCTCACAGTGTGACCTTGCTGGGCCCAGGTGAGACAAGCTTTACAGATGAATAAACACGAAAGTTTGAGCAGCATGAGATGCCTCCCTATACCCCAGGGATTGCTTTCCCATATCCAGCAGGAAATACCAGTTGTGTAGAAAGGCATGGAGAGATGGCAACATGGTGAGGAGGGAGACAATGTGGTGGAAGGAGCAGCCCTGCAAAAGCAGTGCTCCTGCAAACCCAAAATCAACCTGACCATGTGGTGTTAGAAGGTCTGGG